GCCTTTCTGCTCCTATGATGCTGCTTGGCCTGCTGTGTTCATCCAGCTCTGCACCTTGTTGTCTCGGATTCTCCAGCATCTGCAGTTCCTACTATCCCTGCCAAAATATTGTCAGTTTATCATGTGTCACCACAGCAGATCTTTGATCAGCTCTTGACTTGAACAGGATTTATAGGAGGTGGTGGCACAATGGTATTGGCATTGCACCAGTGATCCAGAGACCCAGGCTAATGCAGTGAGGACATGCGTGCAAATTTCACCATGGCAGATGGTGAAATTTGAATTCATTAAAAGCTAAAGTTAAAAAGAAACCAGTCTAATAGTAATCATGAACATTGTCAATTGTCATAAAAACCTATCTTGTTCACTTATACCCTTTAGGGAAGGAAATCATCTATCCTCATCTGGTCTGCTGCAAACCCACAAATTATGTAGTTGACTCTTAACTGCCCTTTGAAATTAAAGCCAATCAGTTCATATGCTTTTAAAGATGGTTGACAAATGCTGGCCTTGTGGGATAGCTTCCTTCCAAGAAGTCGACCCACTTGTGAACAAGACCTTTGCCAACAATTAATTTGGATGGCTCCATTGACATCAGGCCTTCCAGATCCAAACTACTAAGCATTCTACCAATGTTAAACTGGTGAGCCAGAAATTTAGGAGAGAGACATAGCATCAGGTATTTTAACCCTCACTATTAAATCTGTATTTTTGATCTAAGCCATACCCCTGGTATCAACAGTTTGTAATGTGCTGAAACAATATTTATTTCCGTTTATATTTGTACGACAGAAGTTAAATTATAGGACATCAAGTATAAACTACATCAGAGATCATCTGCCAACAATTGGTGACTCAGCATTCTATGCTTAGAGACCTGTCTGGAACCAACATTTGCTGTTTAGACTGAATGACTTGATTCTCTACTTATGTTCTAAATAATTATCCTTCCCTCCATCATAAGGTCAGAAGTAGAAATGTTTGTGCAGTCATCAGCAATATTCAGTACCATTCACAACTCCTCAGATACTGAAGCACTCCATGTAAATATAGCAAGACATGGACAGTACCCAAGTTTGGGCTGATAAGTGGCAAGTGAAGTTCACGCTGTTTAAGGCAATGACTTTTTCAAGAAGTGCAAATCTAACTGTAGCTCCTTGACATTCAGTGACATTACCATCAATGAATCCTCCGCTATCAACATCCTTGGGATTAGCATTGACCAGGAATCCTACAGCAATTAACTCACCTCCTGACTCCACACAGCATGACCACTGTCTAAAAGGCACAAGTCAGGACTTTGATGAATACTCTCCATTAGCGTGGATGAATCTAAATCTAACAGCATCGTAGCAGTATCCAGGACAAAGCAGCCTGCTTAGTATGCAAATATTCACTCCCACCACCATTGATGCTTAGTAGCAGCAGTGTGTGTCAACTACAAGATGCACTGCAGAAATTCACCAAAGCTCCTTAAGGATCATCTTTCAAGCCTACAGCCAATGCCATCTCGAAGGACAAGGATAGAAGATAAATGAGAAAATCACTACCTGCAAGTCCCCTCAAAGTCACTCACCATCACCATTTATCATATTGCTACTCATAGAGGAAATATTCCTGTCAAATCCAATGAACAAAATAATATGCTTCTGGCTCCTTTTCAGTATGCTCCTATGCAGTGTGAAACCCAAATTCAGTTGTTGCTTTGACCTGCATTGCAAGTTCCATGTCTTAAGAATAAAGCATTGCTTTCGTTTTATTCCAATATTCACATTGAATTAATCTTTATTTTTTTTCCTCCTCACTTCATATATGACTTAAAATCTGTTGTTCAATGATTTTAGTTAGTTAGTTAGATTTGAGCAAAACTAAGTTGCTGAATTTTCTTAAGCACTGTTTTGAGGTATTTCCAATGTATCTATATTTATGCAGTTTTAAACTTTGGGGATTCCTCACTGAATATTGATTTATTTTAGAGTCGGAGAGCAGTTCAGAAGAATATGGTTTATATTGATGATCACAGACTTATGATGCAGTACCTTTTTCCACTAAATGAAATTGTGGTAGATTTCTATGACAGCCTGAAATCTCTTTCTTCAGGATATGCCAGGTAGGAACATTTAGATTTACATTCTCAGTAACAAAATAGAATTTTAGTCTATGCTGTCCTTCAGTTAGTAAACAAATAAATTCAGCATTACATGAAAAGATGTGCCTCGAAGCAGAGAGGTAGTGTAAAAGAATATGCATATTGGAGAATGCGTTATAAATTATTGGGAGCTAAGAGTCACAAGTATAGCTGCTAAACTTGCAGTTTATAAAAAGTTGATATGAGTACATAAATTAGGGGTAGAGGTAGGTCATTCAGTCCCTTAAGCTGCTCTGTTATCCAAATAGAATCACAGCTGATCTGTTTGTCTTGAATTCCAAATTGCCCCAAATGATCTTTGATTTCCTTTCCTAACAATAATTTCTGCTTCTACCTTAAAATATTCAAAGACCCTTCCTCCACAGTTCTCTGAAGTAGAGAGAAACAACATTGCACAGCTGCTTGGGAGAGTAAATTTCTCTGCTTCGCCATTTTAAAAGTGTGACCCCGATTTCTAACCCGTGCCCCCCTTAGTTTTGGCCTCATCAACCTTGTCAAGACCATTAAGATCTTAAATACCTGAACCAAGTAATCCCTCGCTCACAAGTAACCCGAGTGGAAACAAGCCCTATCTTTTCAACCTGTCCTCAGAAGTCAACCCAATCATTTTTGCTTTTTTATTGTAACTGAGTAGCACCTAGCCTTGGTTATTGTTTAGTTCTTAGGTTTATTCTCACTGCCATTCTCTCTCATTCATTTCCCATGTTACTGTTTTGTTCTTTCTGCCTTGATGATACCCCTAGATTCACTGCATTTACCCAAGCCTGATCTCTCACTTCCACTGTATAGTTTAAAGCCCTTTCTGCTTCCCTAGTTATATGGTTTGCTAGAACCCTAATCCCAGAATAGCTCAGGTGCAGAATGCCACAACAGTACATTCCCCATTTTCTTGGTGCTGATGCCTATGTCCAACGACCCAGATCCCACTTGTTTCACACCAGTTTTTGAGCCCCATATTCACAATTTTATATGCCAACTGCCAATTGACACATGGCTCAGCCAATAATCCAGAGGTTTAAGGTTCATCTCTTCGATATGGTGTCTTGATACCTACTTTGATCATGACCACTGGGTCTGCTCCCACCAACCCCACTTCCTCTTCAGCCCTAAGCAGCCCCAAATGAAGTAGGCAACATAGCCTTCTGAACTTACTGTCTTGACTTCATGTACCACAGTCAGTTCGCTCATCCGTCCTGCAACCCTCACTCTCATCCCAACAAGCAGAAAGAACCTTAGGTAGTTTGGGCAATTGCAAAGGCAGAAACTCCTGCCTTCTGGGTCCCGTTAATTGCCATACTTGCAGACCTTATTGTTTTGGAAAAGCAGACTCAATGGGCCAAATGGCCTACTTTTACTCTTATTTTGCAAGGTCATATTACTAAATTGATGGTAGGATTTATGTAAATTATTTTCTTACATTTTGTTTATTCTTGTAGTTTTGACTATGAAGATGCAGGATACCAGGTGGCTGACCTGATTAAGATGGACATTTATCTAAATGGAAAGTGTGTGGAGGAACTTGCGACCATTGTGCACAGGTTCGTCACTGAGTGCAGTTACTTTTCATGTTTATCTGGAAACGTGCTACTTGCTTCTGTATGCTTTACCCTATTTTTCCTGATCTGAATCAGATGGTAAGAAAGTGGACCAACCAACTACCTTTCAAAACCTTAAATTTATGAAGGTCCCTTTCAAAGTTTTCTCCTTACTAAAACTAATAAATTGCAGAGTAACCATACAACTTGAGTGCTCAATTATTGAACATATCAGCAGAAGTACTTTTAATAGTTTAAATCACCTATACTTCAACATGAATCCTGTTTACAACAATGGCAAAAGTATGATCAAGCTGGCCCATAATACAGTTATTTATATTGGCAGTTTAAAGGATAAACTGCTTCAAATGTTTTGTCAGGTAGCTCTTCCTGCTTGTTTGAATAAACCTAATGGCATATGAGAAGCTTTCTTTCAGATTTTGGCTTGTAGCATGTGTATAACATTGATGATATCATAGCTGTTTAAGGTTAACTGTCTTGTTCAGTGGATAAGTTATAGCTGTCACAAAGCAGTGGACCAAATGTTTACAATGACATTACAGATACCCCTTTGTAACATTGTCCTTTTTAGTCCAAGGATATCTGACTGCCACTGACTAAGCTAGCATTTGTTGCCCATCCCTAATTGCCCTGGTGATGGTGAGCTGTCTTTTTAAACAGTTGTAGTCTTTGGGACATAGGGACACCAAAGATGCTGTTTAGAAGAAAGTTCTAGCATTTTTACGCTGCAACGGTGAAGGATCGGCAATATAGTTTCCAAGTCAAGATACTAAGTGACTTGGAGGAGAACTTGCAAACTGTGGTGTTCCCATCCATCTGCTGCCCTTATCCTTCTACATTGTAGAATTTGCAGGTTTGTAAGGTGCTATCAAAAGAATGCTACAGTGCATCTTGCAAATTATATACACCGCTGCCATTGTGTATCAGTGATGAATTGAGTGAATATTGCTGTGGTGGATAGGATGCTGGACAACTGAGTTGCTTGGTCCTGAAGTGAAGTCACATTCACACAATCACCCAGAATATGTAGTACTTTGTAGGAAAGTTTGATATTAGGGAAAGTGAAAATATGTTTCCTTTTTATTTTTGTATACGTTCTTCTATGTTGCACAAAGGATGGAATGTTACATTCTGGGGTAACAGTTACCAACCACATTGCCTGTCCAACTGTCCTCCTCTCTCTGGGCTCTATTTCCACCTATCATTTACTCCTTACCCCCCACCTTATCTTCTGCACAAAAAACAACTCTTTCCTAGCTACCATCAGTTCTGAAGAAGGGTCATTGGACCCAAAATCAGATACCAGAAATGTTGGAGAATGCAAGATTTAATGAGAAGGAAGAATTGAGGCAGATCAATATTAGTGGAGAAATGGTGCTGGGAAAATTGATGGGATTGAAGGCGGATAAATCCCCAGGGCCTGATAATCTACATCCCAGAGTACTTAAGGAAGTGGCTGTAGAAATTGTTGATGCATTGGTGGTCATCTTCCAGGATTCTGTAGACTCGAGAACAGTCCCTGCAGATTGGAGGGATAGCTAAGACACTCCCGTATTCAAAAATGAAGGTAGAGAGAAAACAGGGAATTATTGCCCCAGTAAGTGGGGAAAATTCTCAAATGCATTATCAAGGACTTTATAGTGGAGCATTTAGAAAGCAGTGGCAGGATCAGACAGAGTCAGCGTGAATTTATGAAGGGGAAATCATGTTGGAATTCTATGAAGATGTAACTAGTACAGTTGACAAGGAGGAGCCAGTCGATGTAGTATATTTGGACTTTAAGAATGGGTTTGACAAAGTCCCACATGAGAGATTATTGTGCAAGATTAAAACGCATGGGATTGGGCAAGTGTATTGAGATGGATAGAAAACTGGTTGGCAGAGAGGAAACAAAGAGTAGGAATTAATGGGTCCTTCTCAAATTGGCAGGCAGTAACTAGTGAGGTGTGACAGGGATCGGTTCTGGGACCCAGTTATTCACAATATATATTAATGATTCGGATGTAGGAACAAAATGTAACATCTCAAAGTTTGCAGATGATACCAATTTGAGTGGGAGGGTAAACTGTGACGAGGATGCAGAGATCCTTCAGCATGATCTGGACAGGTTGGTGTGTGGACAAATCAGTGCCAGATGCTATGTAATTTGGATAAATGTGAGGTTATTTACTTTGGGAGCAAAAACAAGAAGGCAGATTGCTACCTGAATGGCTGTAAATTGGGAGGGGGGGTTTGCAGCAGGGCCTGGGCATCCTTGAGCACTAGTCGCTGAAGGTAAGCATGCAGCTGCAACAGGCAGTAAAGGCAGCAAATGGTATGTTGGCTTTCATTGCGAAAGGTTTCAAGTACAGGAGCAGGGATGTATTGTTGCAGTTATACAAGGCCTTAGAGAGGCCACACCTAGAATATTGTGTGCAGTTTTGGTCTCCTTTTCTGAGGAAGATTGCTGTTGCTCGAGAGAGAGAGAGTGCAGCAAAGGTTTACCAGGCTGATACCGGGGATGGCAGGTCTGACATATGAGGAGAGATTGATGAGGTTAGGATTGTTTTCGCTTGAGTTCCGATGAATGAGGGAGAATCTCAGAGACTTATAAAATTCTAACAGGACTGGACAGTGTAGATGCAGGGAGGATGTTCCCGATGATGGGTATGTGCAGAACCAGGGGTCACAGTATGAGGATACGGGGTAGACAATTTAGGATGGAGATGAGGAGACATTTCTTCGCCCAAAGGTGGTGACCCTGTGGAATTCATTACCACAGGAAGTAGTTAATGCCAAAACATTGAATGTATTCAAGAGGCGGCTAGACATAGCACTTGGGGTGAATGGGATCAAAGATTACGGGGAGAAAGCAGGATTAGGCTATTGAGTTGGACGATCAGCCATGATCATGATGAATGGCAGAACAGGCTCAAAGGACTGAATGGCCTCCTGCTGTTCCTATCTTCTATGTTTCTATGAAACATTAACTCTGATTTCTCCGCACAGATGCTGCCAGACCTACTGACCTTTTCCGGCAATTTGTGTTTATATTTCTGATTTCCAGCATCCGCAGTTCTTTTGGCTTTTATATAGAATGTTACACATCTCCACAAGCTGCCATTTTAATTAAACAACTCCTAAACATGTGCACTTACACTTTCATCATGGGAATGTTAGGCAGCGTGTCTTGTATGTCGCAGTATTGGCTTTAAAACAACGGACAGAGGCTCAGGGTTTCTGCTGAAGCGACCTCCTACTATTATGGTTAATTAAAAATCCAAAGAAATGTGCATGCTGGAAATCGGAAACAGAAATAGAAATTGCTGGAAAAGCTCAGTTCTGCAGAAGGGTCACTGAGCCTGAAATGTTAACTCTGCTTTCTCTCCACAGATGCTACCATACCTGTTGAGTTTTTCCAGCAATTTCTGTTTCTGTTCCTGCTATTACGGTATCAGTAGCCCTGGATCAATGTGTAGGTACACACATATGAATTATGAGGAGGAGGCCATTCGATACCTCAAGTCTATTTCACCACTCAGTAAGATCAGGCTGATCTTATTAACTTCAACTCCACACACCAGACTACTTCTGATATCCTTTGACTTCCTTGTTAGTCGAGAATTCATCTACCTCTTCCTCCAAAGATTTCAATGATCCTGCTTCCAGCACTCTATGCCAATCCTGCTTCCTGCGTATAAAGATGTACACGGTCACATACCATATCAATTTTAATTTAGTGCGAACACTTTTTGTGTGACGTTGTTGAGTGCCAGTGTGTATATCTTGTGCTCTCGGAATCTAGTTACTGCGTGAAAGCTTTGTGCCCTGTTGAAAAAATGCCCACATTCATTCAATCATAACCTTATTTTTACAAAGACATAACTGCCTCTAATTAATAACTTTTCTAGAGATTGTTTAGTGGTCCAACATAAAGTGGAGATTGTGAAGACCGGTAACTACTTATATGTCTGGTGAAGAAGTCTGGAACTGGAGATCCATGCTACTGAATAGTATGCATAAGTTTCATTTGATGTTGTTAGGCCTGTGTTTGCTAGCCCTTCATGAACTCTCCTTTGCATATAACTGCCATGTGCTAAAGCTGAAAAAATACTATCAAACCCTTGCATATTCTCTACATTTATTATTGGATTCATACTTGCATCCTAGCCCATTTCTACATTTTCTGGGAGAGATAAAAAATAAGAGAAGCATACCCATTAGGGAGAAAATGTTAACACTAGCTGCAACTTCCAACTGCCCTTAAGAATAAGTACTTAAATAGGGCAGTTCCAAGACTTCTCATGCTCCCATTTTATCTGCACCTTATGGCCACCCACATATGAGATACAGCTTGGTACATGATTTCACTCATTATGTAGTAGATCAGATTTTGATAAATAATAAATGATGAACGTTGTTGTTAATGAGCAAAAGACGTGATAGTCCAGAAAATTGCACATTACCATGAATTGAGGCACTTTACCATAAATATTTGAGAAAACTTAAATATGATGCTTAAACTCCCCCATAACACAGGATTTTCATGATGTTGATGTATTAGCATGTTAATTGCCCGTAAAACCTGTCTCGCTGATTTAAATAATTAACATAAATACAGTTTTAACAATGTGATAATTGTATGACCACCAAATAACTTCCCCCGTCTCGACAGTAAACAATTCTATCTGTAGAATCTCAGTCTTTCAAGTTGTGAAATATATTAGGAGATTTCAAAACTTGTTATTATTTTTTACTTTTCTTCTCCTTCAATCCAGTCCTCCTCTCTCTTTCTTCAGTTTTCTTTCTCTACCTAATTTGACATCGAATTCATTCATTTGAATTTGCTGCCCAGTTCGGTTCTTCCCCAATTGATTCTTAATCCTTAAATCTCATTGCTTGAAGAAATACATTGTTTGTCCCTCATTTCACCTAGGTTTGATGTGCTGTTTTGCTTCATTGTGCCATTATCAGCTTGTGCTTCCACCAATTTTGTGACAAAACGTGACAAGCAAGTTGAATTAATAGGATACAACACAATGTCCCCGACTCTTGTGCCAGCAGAGTCTGGTTCTGTTTTCTCATTTACTGACTAAATCATGCACTGCTTAATAAGGTACTGTTATGACTTGAATGCTGTAGTTTTGCAGATGGTCTGCTATTTTGACTTATGTACAACACTTGCTGGTGGTGAAGCAGACTGCAAAAGTAGTCCTTCAAAGCTGATAATTAGAAATGCAAAGATTGTCATAGATTGATGTATACTTGTCTGTTTTTTATTTATTTAATAAAATATTTTGAAGAATTCATTGGTTGCTTACTTGCAGGGAAAAGGCTTATTCTACTGGTAAAGCAATAGCAGAACGTTTAAAAGACACAATACCTCCGCAACTCTTTGAAATTGCCATTCAGGCAGCAATAGGCAACAAGGTTATAGCAAGAGAAACGTGAGTATCTGCTTCATTCACTAGCATTTAGCTTCATCTCACCTTACTATGTCATTCCTGACCCTGTAGAGCAGTAATTCTTCTGGAATGGGCTTTTTAACCATGCCCAAGAAATAGAGCTTAAAAACTTGCGTATTGTAAATCATTTCTCATGGCCTCAGAATATCACAAAGTGCTTCACAGCCAGTGTATTACTTTTGAAGCATATTTGCTGTTTCACTTGCATGACAGCAGCATGCCTCATGCAGTGAAACACAAAAACACAATGAAACTGACTGCTTTGAATCAATTTTATAAATTGAATGTCTGATCAGGTATGAAAATATTTTATGTTTTAAAGAAGTGTTTGTTTTGCATGGGCCTTTATTGAAGGCCTTGCTACTGAAATGGAGACAGACTGATCTCTAATTTAATGCTGGACTGATTCCATTTTCTTCCGTGAACAAAATATTCTGTCCTTAGTATTGGCCTATAATGATTAAGCAGTGGAAAGCAGTAATTGATTCTCTGACAATGAGATACAGAAATTAAACTATGCCACATCATGTGTCTTGGTAAACTACATAAACATAAAATGAGAACAAAGAAATGTTAATAGTGAATTTTTGTTTATATAATGCTATAGGCATTCAGATTAAACTTCAAAATCAACCTTAATATTATCAGACCTGTCAATAGCTCAGACTCATGAGCCATGTTGAGAATAGCTTTAAGGATCAGTTCTTAATTAAGTAATTACTAAAAGAGCATTTAACTCAGTTTCAGAGTTCTGTCAACATTTACATATGATATGAAATTTCCAGTCATATTTGGATATCATGTTGCTTGAATTATTTTATAACGAGTTTCCAATTACTTACTCCACATTTTGTAATAAGTGGCAAGGTGATGGCACTAACCACTGACATTAAGGAAGACTGGTCATTAAGGTATAGAGATCTCTGTGGATTTCACTTTTCCCAAAGATAATTTCACATTGGTAATAGCAATAATAAATCTCTAGTATCTATTACTGTATAATTGATCAGCAGTATAAGCAACCAGTTACACTGGATAATTCCTACTGCTATCAAGCTAGGAGGTAATAGGCAAATAGCTACATTCATATTCTACAGTTTTGCAGAAAGTGAAATTAACGTTGAGACATACACATGGAACTAAGGTAGAAGATGAAATATAAACTTTGATAAAACAATTTTATTATTTTAAAATCTATTAAATGTTTGTTATTAAATCTAAAGTATAAGATTATTTTGTAAGCACAAGTAAGGTTGTTACGGAAGAATTTGTACCTTAGTGTGCCTGTTAAAGACTTAATTACACTCATTCAACATGGCATAACTGTTGGAAGGATTTTTAGCAACAAGACCCATAGCATAAATAAGTCAAATAATAATGTGTAATTGATACCCATTTCCAAACACTGAACAGCAATTTCTGTATCCAAGATCTTTTTCCTGGGATGGGCGAATCCAAAAATAGTGGGTGTAGGTTTAAAGTGAGAGGAGAAAAGTTTAAAAAGGACCTGAAGAGTAACTTTTTCTTGCAGAGGGTGGTACGGAATAAGCTGCCAGAGGAAGTGGTGGAGGCGGGTACAATTACATTTAAAAGGCATCTGAAAGTATATATGAATAGGAAGGGTTTAGAGGGATATGGGCCAAATGCTGGAAAATCGGACTAGGTCAGATTGGGATATCTGGTTGGTGCGGATGAGTTGTACTAAAGGGTCTGTTTCCGTGCTGTACGACTCTGACTCTGAAGTTTTGACCCACGTGGAAAAGCAAGGAATTGCTGACAGCAATTTCTGAATGTTTAGTTTTAGCTGGAACTGTCTGAATACTGGCAGTTGATGTCAGTTTCACAGAGTGATGATAACAAATACTGACCAATTTTCCTCTTTGTAATGACAAATAAATATGTTTCTACACAGAACTTCTGTGTGTTTATTTTCTTTTCAGTATTAAAGCAGTAAGGAAGAATGTATTGGCAAAATGTGTAAGTATAGTTTTTTTTTCAAATGTTACATTTTCTTTAGAATACAAAAATTAGGCTTTTTACATCCATCTGGCACAACACAAAGTACCGACATTAAGCCAAGTTTGTTCAAAATTAGAATCAACTTAAACTGAATTTGAAATTGTTTTAAATTGACTTAAGGGAATTCAAGGAAGGCATTTTAGGAGTGATTCTATTTAGTGTGTCTGAAAATGCTTGACATGCACTTTAAGTGTACTTACTGATTTTAATTTGCATAGGTAAATCAAATACTGAAACAGTAATCCTGCAGTGAAGGGATATAAGGATAAATAATGTGTGGTCATATACATGCTTTACTGAGTTTGGTGAACTGATTTGAATATTTAAATAACAAAGTGCAACTTGCCTCCCCTCCCACCCAGAACCTCCAAAGTGGCGGCCTGTCTGCAAAAGTCATTATTTTAGTTTATATCTTAAAAACTTATCATTAATTTTCATTGCAGTGACCTGCTCATTTGAAGTTGGAAGAACTCAGGTTGGTTCTCTCCTCCCCCCCCCACCCGCCCCCCCCCAACCACCACCAAACAAACACACACATAATCCCCCACCCTGTGGCCACCCTGGAGACAGTTCACACATAGTGATCATTCACTTGAAGGTGCGGGTTCTAACCTGTGCTGCAGTCTCATGGTTGCAGGGTTCCAAAGTGCACAATGCAAATGCTACCCATGACAAGCTGAAATATCACCCAGCATCACTGACCTATCAAACTGCTCCTTTTGTTAGTTAGTGTAAATATTGTGGTGCAAAGGCATTACTAGATATGGCACACATACTTAATCTATAATTTATCTATCTTTCAAGTTTAGGTGACTTTTGTTAATGTTTGGCTGAAAATTTAAACAAAAATGGTATTGAAGAGTAGGAATTACTTGACAGTGTAAAATTATTTTTTAAATACTTTTAATGATAAAGTGGCTTGTCTACTGGAATTTTTCCTTTGATGACTGCAGTTCATGAAAAAAATCCACCAGGTGACACTTGTCCTGTTTTAAAATTTAGCCTATTTGGCTTCAGTTAAAGGACTAATAAATTGAGCATAAGTGCTTGCTTTCAGTAAGCTTTATACATTGATTAAATAAATTATTCTTTCAGTGAATACATTGGTTTCAAAGGAATTCCAAGCACAGTCAAATAATTGAAAAGTTTTCACTTAATATTTGCTTGGAAGGAAATATTCTATTAGCCTAAAAATATAAATTACATTTAAATTAAAGTACATTTAAAACTGTTGTAAAACACATACCTTCATATACTTTCCTGTTAGAGGTGATCTATAAAGGTAAGATACTTTGAGTTTTCCTGATATCAACAGGTGTTTCAAAGTATTATAGATACTTGCAATGTAATTATGAAAGTAAATTATAAGTGGAAATGCTGATGTCTTTGTTGCAAACTTTTCTCACTGCAGTCATAAGTACTGAATACACAGGTGGTTAGTCAAGTGTTGACCATAAATGCGGTAAATGTATTTTCTGAATTTGAAGTCTCTTGCAAATTACAAAAGCACAGTAATATGCATTCAATAGTTAAGTTTAAAGTGAAAGAAATGGTATTATGCTGAATTGGTGTATAATCCTGAATATCATGGGCAAATGGACATTTATTATCTCTGTCATTCCTTCCTGTATTGTTTGAATTATTTCAAACATCTGGTCTAAGAACAGGCACAATGATAAACGGTTTCCTCTGTTCACCATTTGTAATTGGTGTCTTTATGTATGCAAATAACACTACTGGTTTAAACTTTATTACAAATAGGAACGGATATGTTATCCCCACTTTTGTTGCAGATATGTTTAAAAGTACTTATTATTATTTTCAGTATGGTGGGGACATAACCCGTAAAATGAAGCTTCTGAAGAGGCAAGCTGAAGGAAAGAGAAGAATGAGAAAAATTGGCAATGTGGAGATACCAAAAGATGCTTTTATAAATGTACTAAAGAGACAAAAGGACAAGTAGAGTAAAATGTAAATAGAGAACCCAGTCCTTTCTGTTTAAACCTGTTTATTTATCTCATTATTATCTGAAATATGTCATTGATGTAGAAAGCTAAAACCATCAATCATTGCACTTCAGAAGGACTAGAAATTTACAATGATAAGGTGTATATAAATGCAAGTACATCACCATGTGCTATACTTAGAACATTGAAAGCAGCCTCAATGATCATTATCTAAGGACTCTAACTGGGAGTGAAGTCCTCATGGATTATCCATGTATTTGCTTACAGTTCAAACTTTTGATTTGGCTCATTACTGGAAACTGCTAATGTAAATGGATCCTGGGTTCTGTGAATTATATTCATTTATTCTCCACAAGATGGATCAATACAGTAAAATTATGTTGACTGGCTCAATGTTAATTACCTGAGGTTTACTTTTGCAAAAATATTTATTTTTCTGTCAAATGAATGAATTTTTAAAGTGAGATATATAGTGTCAATAAACAATTCTAATGTTGCTGCATTTCTTTTGTTTTTGGAATCTGCACATTGTTTCTGTATGGCTAGCTATTCAAAATAATGATCAACAATGAAAAATAAACTGAGTACAGTTTTCTTGAAAGCAAGAGAGGTGCTATTACCTGGTAACCTGTCATATTTCTACGATCTTAAAACACAAAATCAGCAATAAGATTCACTTGTTAATTGTGTCCTTTATCAGAACCAATATTAATTTGTGTTCTGTCTTGTGGAGTTTTGGGGGAAAAAAGAAATTAGAACTATTTTCATGATTGTTGAATTTGATATCTTAGATGTAGAGACGCTCAAGCTCCCGTTTACACTATGGAATCTAAAAGGAAAAGAAAGAAAAAAATAGCTTAAATAGAGCACTTTACATCACAGTCAGATGTCTTTTTTTAAAAAGTTCTTTCATGGAATGTGGGTGTCCCTGGCAAGACCATCCTCTGTCCTCCATGCCTAATTGCTCTTGAACTGAGTGGTCACCTCTGAGGACATTTAGCCATCAAATACATTGCCGTGGGCCTGGAGTCCTGTGTAGGCCAACTTGGGTAAGGACAGCAGATTCCCTTCCAAAAGGGGCATTGGTGACCCAGATGTGGCATCACTGGAGACCAGCTTTATACTTCAGATTTATTATTCAATGAATTCAGTTCCCACCAGCTGCTTTGGTGGGATTTGAACCCATGTCTGTAGAGCATTAGGCGGGGCCTCTGGGTTATTAATGAGTGCAGCTTTCTCATTATACATATGTTTTCTCTGTAAAAAAAAATGCTTCACAGCCAATTAAGTATTTCTGGTGTGTAATTACTGTTGTAGGATAGGAAACTGGCAGCTGATTTCCACACAAGCTCCCACATACAGTTGATTGAAGGAAAAATATTGGCTAGGACATTATAGAATAGAATCATACGGTAGACAGCACAGAAAGAGGCTATTTGTCTTGTTCAATCAAGCTCTGGAAGAGCGATTCACGCAATCGCACTCCTCTTCCCCTTCCTTGTAACCGTACAAAACATTTTTTCAAGATAATTCTCCAATTTTCTTTTGAAAGTCACAATTCACTATAGGTATTCTGTGATTCTATAAATGTTTCTGCGCCACACTCAGATGCAGCGCATTCCAGGTTCTAAGATATCTGTGCAAATGCTTTTCCTCATGTTGAATTGCTGCTTTCATCAATCATTGAATTTAAAGGATGTTTTGGAGATATTGCTGATGAAACTTTTTTAGTACTTGTTTCACTGATGCATTGTCCAGGTCTCCCTGCCTTGCGGGGGTGTAGTCACAACAATTATTGTGTGCACTAGGACTTTTGTTGACCCATAGATAAGCATGTTCTCAAACATTCATTGCTGTAGTTTGTAAAAGGCTGAGCACACCTGGTAGATCCAGTGTTGGCTGAGAGGTGGCTGCTAAAGTATGAAAAGCGTTCAACATAATCCAGAGTTTCCAACCTATGTGAGAAATAGTATATTCAGCTTTGTCCTTTGTGAGTTGAAATGAATTTTGCTTTAGCAACAATCAAGGCCAGATCAAGATTATATGCAAATTGAAGACAATATGAATGGCTTACAACTTTGTTGCAGAATCAGCAATGTCACTGCAGTCGCCTGCAAACAGCACTGTAAATGTCTTTGGAAAGCAGTTTTGCTTTGTTATGGGGGCAACTGAGATTAGAGATTTTATCTGGATGTTATTCTATACACCATCTTTGTAGAGAGTAGACATTATCATGCAGATTGTAAATAGTACAGGAGATATCATACATGCTTCCTTGAAACCAGTCTGGGTTTTGAAACCATCCGCTTCAGATCTCCCGCAGGATTATGAAGAAGTTATTCGTACACCCATTGTTTGGAGCACAACCCACACAGCCTCATGATTTATTGAACTACATGACTTTTTTCAGGTTAATGTATGCACTGAAAAAGTTTTGGATTTTACTGGCAGCGAAAACCACATCAAAGATTCCTCTGCTAAGTCTAAATTGTCTCTGAGTTTTTGTCTTAGAAGACACTACTGGATACACTGTCCATAGGGGCTCACCATTTGTATTGGCTTCTCCCAATGGTTCCTGTCCAAACATTGGGGTCACAGCCAACCCTGGCATTACCCCAAAAGGACGATCGTTTCTTCTTTTGAAATGGTAATGAGTACTTCAGCTTACCAAGCAGGCTACTATGAAGCATTTCCTCAAATACCTTTTGAAAATTCAGATGACTGCATAAACTGCATTACCCTCATTAATGTTCTTTGTTAGCTCATCAAAAGCAAATTGATTAAACATATTTTGTCCTTAACAAATATGATTGGCTTTCCTTAATAAATCCACATCTCTAAAAGAGACTGTTAATATTGTCCCAACTTATTTCTAATGACTTCTGCACGACCAAAGTTAAATGTATTATCCTGTAAATGCTGATTTACTTCTTACACCTATACACCAAAGATAGATTTGAAGATTATGGTCAGTGACAGCAATATTTACCCTTTTCTCAGTTTCATTCTCATTTTAGTCTGGTGCCCTTTAAACAAAAATAAGAGGATTTTGGCTTCACTTACTGCGCTAGCATTTATTGTCCTTTCCTAATTGCCTTTGACAGAGTGATTTTCAGCTACCTTCTTTAACCAGTTCAATCCATTTGATGTAGGTGCACCCATCATGTTGGTTCCACGCCAGTGGGAGTACTCCAACACATACTTTACTTGTGCCTTGTAGATGGGAGAACAGGCTTTGGGGAGTCAGGAGGTGAGTTACTCACTTCGGTATTCCTAGCATCTGATCTGCTCTTGGAGCCACTCAGTCTTTGATATATTTAAAGTAAGGTTTCATAAAGTTTTGATTATCAATGGTGTAAAGGGTAATGGTACTCATGTAGGTAAAAGCATTGATCGGTCATGATTGGATTAAATAGTGGACCTGGCTGAATGACCCACTCCTGTTCCTCTGTTCATGAGTAGTCAGCCCTCTCCACAAACAACACATAAAGGCCAGGCCATTCTCAAACCTGCCCTGACAAAAAAATTGAAGTGATAGGTTTGGGACTTGTTGGCGATTTTTGCTGTTGCAGTGAGAATATGAGCTTTGGTTCTAAAAAGTTCTCAGCTATTGGGAGAAATGGAATCGGAGTCGTAAGGTTTCACAAGGGTTACTTTTTTTAAGATTCTACTGTATATTCCAACCTATATTCCAATTTGCCAAGTGCCAATTCAAAACTTACATAAAAATGGGCAAGAAAGACTATTTATTACAGATATATCTAGCAGCCAAATGACCAGAGAGTAGAATCGGCTACTAAGGAGGTACTAAATAATGTTACACAGACTATTACAATACTGGAAATTTGACAATGATATTTTGAATATAAATATTGTGCTTTTCTGATAAACCCAAATTTACTGTCATTATCAAATACAATACATACCTTTACTAGATTAATTTTAACCTACATAAATTGTCATGATTCAATGGGATAATACAATGAAAGTCAAATTCCAGTATTCCCAGAGTCATCACAAATATGAAAATTTAATTAAACCATTGAATTGCTTCATTTTACCTAACTGCCTCATTCAGGTATTTAATCCTTCATTAACAAGGCAATAACTGTTTATTGTGATTAAACTGTTTTTAACAAAAGAAAGAAAGTACTACAAGTTGCTAACTTGTTACTCGATAACTCAAACTCTACCCTTTTTGTGAAAAATCCTATTAAAATACCAGACACACAAAGAGACGAGACACAAGAGCAGGGAAAGAAATGTCAGATAAGCAGTTTGGCATCAATTCAGATCACAGATCTCAATGAGATAGTAAGAACTGCTAATGCTGAAGTCAGAGGTAACACAGAGGGTGGACTCCAGCATTGGCAGTTCTTACTATCTCTGAGTGAGTTATAACCTCACTGCAAAGCATTTTCCTGAAGAAGGGTCCCGACCTGAAACGTCAGCTTTCCTGCTCCTCTAATGCTGCCTGGCATACAGATCTCAATCAGCTGTTTTAGTTTTGGTTTTCTTCCAGCTCATTCTCGTGCTGAGAATTTGCCCCTTTTTGTGCTTCTGAAGGTGTTTTTTTCTCCACCTTTTGTCTTTTGAGGGCAACTTACAGAGACCTGTTAGAGAGAAATGATGGGAGACTTTTCTGTTGCCTCACCACACAGGAGTGAGTGAGAGAGATTGTTTCCAGGCTGAGGTTTCTGCTCTGTTGTCTACATGCATTGTCCTGGACACAAATGTGGAGCTGATATGTCAAGTATTCTCCTTCACTGCTTGAGTAAGGCAACATTGTAGATGCAATTCACAATGAGCGGGTTTGTTTGATTTAAAGCAGTATAATTTTCCATTAGTCCACAAGACATACATTACAGGTAAATTATTGTAATGCTTTGTTTAGATTTAGGTGACTGATTACTATTGGTGATTAGAATGAAACTGCACTATTATCATTAGCGTACATAGAACAATACAGCACAGTACAGGCCCTTCGGCCCACGATGTTGTGCCGTACTTTTACCCTAATCCTAAGGTCTATCTAACCTCCACCCCTACCTTATACTATCATCCATATGCCTATCTAATAGCCGCTTAAATGCCCCTAATGAGGCCGACTCCACTACCCTCTCCGGCAATGCATTCCACGCCCCCGTAATGTAGGGCTAGTTGCATGCTCCTTATTACAACATGCAGAGGATAACCACCAAAACAAGTCCATTTTGTTTTTTTTATCCTCCACATGAACAATAGTCTTAATCCAATTTTTAGTCATGGAACTCTATGCCCCAATTTGATACACATGACCCTTAATGCTTAAAATGTTCCACAATCAAGATTTCTTTTAGAATTTTTCTACTGCTTACCTTTAACATTCATAAAAGGAGACCAAACAGGTTTGGCTCTCCACCTGTGTAAAAATGTCAAATTTTATCCCATCACTCTGGGTTTGATTCGAACCTAATCGAAAATCTAATGTTGTAATGGTAAGACTGTCTTAGCAGAACTACT